TATTTCCTGGAACCTGGCTTAATAATGAAATCGATCTCATTTTCCAAGCTAAACCGTATTGTACATATTATAGATATTTTTTTCTATTCGTCATTACTACAATCCTAGCTTGGCTAAGTTGGAAAATGTGGTAGAAAAGTGATCTTTCAAAACTTTAGTCCTAAATGATTAATTTCCACCCGTGAAAACACATTATTTTAATTAATAAGTTTTATGCATGTGATTATGCGTTCACTCTACCATTTTGTTATTTCTGTTTCATGAAAGCCGAAAGGCTAAGAATGGTTGTGCTACATAGAGAGCGTCACACAAGGTTGAAAAAGATAAAATTATGCTGTTATAAACTCAGTCGTACGTTAGAGCACTGAAGCATAGCACAAAAAGTGCGTGTGTGTAGCGACATAATGGAAATACACATGCGTGTGCACACATTGAAAGAACATGTCGGTTGATAAGTCATCGAACAAGCAGACGCATTTTGATCGCACAGCGCATGCGAACATCGAGAGTTTTGAAATCGAAGAACAAGAAGATGGTAACAACGTTATCCCACTTGATGGTCAGGTCAATGACCGCAAGCCTAGAAATGAGCAGGTGTGTACTTAAGACTTGATCGTTTATTAAAGTTTTATGAAATTAAATCTCATGGTTGAAACGCACACATGTTGTTGTTGTTGAGTCCGAACAGAAGAATATAGAAGGCGATCAGGAGAGAATGATAGTAAGAGATGAGGAAGGTTTGAAACTCACCAGGATGATTTGTAGGAATGACGCACTGGAATTCACCCTGGCCCTTTCGATGATTTCTCAATGATTCTTAGGTACCAACTACTATTGATCGTTGTTGCCACTGAAAAATAATTGTTCGTTGATTTTTAAGCATCGATGGTCATCGGCAAAGCAAAAGAAAGTGAAAGATCATAAAAAGAAAAGACGAGTGGTAGTGACAGATGACGACGTTCGGCACGAGCAAACAGCAATTACACTTGATGACGGAGAGACAACTGATCGACCACAAGTAACGAGCAAAGATATCGCGATCCACACTGATTCCCCACGCAAGTTTGACCGGCTGCATATAAACTTGAATGCAGAAGAAACAGTTGATCAGAGGCAAGTGATAGTAGCAGCGGCGGAAGATGATAATACACTTGGCGACTCCATCACTCGAAATCGTCGAGTCGTAGAAGATGTTACTGGAAAACAAAATCTGACAACTACGAACATCATCAACGATATCAAAATGAACCTTGGTCCTATTGTAGGATACGCCGAAGAGCGTTTGTTGCCACTTTCGAAAGCATGTGCTCCGCTGACCAACATCATCCCCGATTTATCGGTGTACGTTCAAATGGCACTCGACGAAACCCCAGAAGAGCCACCTGACGGACTGACAATCGACGAGAGTGCTGCAATTCGGCTCTACACGATCGAATGGGAAGGACCGCACCGAAGTCTCTATTCGATACTCAATTACACCCTCAAGACGGCAGATCGCGAGGATCTTCGACCCTATTTCAAGTACCTGAAACTGTTCTTGACTGCCCTGGTCAAACTACCCTGCGTCCCACAGCTGACAATCTGGCGAGGGGTAACCAAAGATTTGAGCGCAGATTTTCCACCCGGCACTCTGGTGACATGGTGGGCATTTTCATCATGCACAACTGCACTGACCGTGCTCGAGAACAACATATATTTAGGCAATAGGGGTGAGCGGACGCTCTTCTCCGTCGAAGCCATTAACGGCCGAACAATACAAGCTCATTCGCATTTCGTTACCGAAGATGAAATTCTTCTTCTGCCTGGTACTCACATGGTGGTTCAATCGCAATTCACTCCGGCGCCCGATCTCCACATCATCCATTTGAAACAGATAATACCGGAAGAAATGCTACTAGAGCCTCCATTTGAAGGTATTTTGAACGCTTTAATCGTTTGTTTTAAACTGAAGTATTTCCGTGCTTAGGTGCATATCTTTATCCAAAAATCAAGTAAGTCGAACTTCGTCTTCATCTATCTCTGTTTTTGACGATACTTTCCATCACATTTACAAGGCGTCACTGGTATCAAAAGAAGAGATTCATCATTTCAATCAGCTTACTGGCGACTGTGCTCATCATGGCAGTTATTGTCGGTTCTGTTTTGGGATCAAGATCTGCAGGTGTGGTTTTTGGATACAGGGCGCAAAAGCATTGCACATTCCAGTATTCTAACGCTACTTCCGTGCAAACATCAACACTAATGAAAACCCAACATTCAGTAAATTTCTCCATTCATGGAATTCAGTGTAAACGTCTGAGGCAGCCAAACTTCTATTTGTCTAAGTAACGTTAGCACATATTCTGCAATAAACTAAATTTTGCGATTTCTCGTCAACCAGGGTATCTGGAGAACCAAGCCCTGAGTTCAATTCAGAAAATATTTGCAAATACATTCATCGTGTAGAGCAAACATTTTCGCAGAAAGTGAGACGTCTTCGAGCTCTTTATGACATTTTTTCATCAAGTAGCATCCTATTTGCGGAAGGCCCTTAGCACTTATCTTCTTAATTTCCCGTTGGTTTTGCTAGTATGCGACCTTCCATAAATTGAATGCTGCTTCATGCGAAAGTATCGTAAAGAGCTCGAAGACGTCTCACTTGAAATAAATTTCGGTCTATCTCAGACTTAATATTCGGTCAAGATCTACTTCTAAACGTTCTCAATATAATCTAGGTTTTCTAAGATAGACTGACATTTATTTCAAATTTTGCCCTCGAATCGTCGAAATGAATTGGTCCGAGTGTACCATTCTAAGATCCTGGATGCGACCTTGAGTAAAGAGTTTGAAAATCAAACCGATCCGACCGGTGAAAACTGGAATGTTTTGAAGAATATTTGTGGTGTGGAGTCCGCAAAAGACTTGAAATCGGCTCACTAACTTTTAAAACCAGGGAATCTGGAAAACCAAGTCGCAGAAAACCAGATCCCTGAGTTCAATTCAAAAAATATTTGTAAATAAATTCATCATGTAGAGGAAACATTTTTGAAGAGAATGAGACGTCTTCGAGCTCTTTACGACACTTTCTCATAAAGCAGCATGCAATTTATGAAAGGTCGCATACTAGCAAAACTAACGCGGAAACAAGAAGATACGCGAATTTATGGAAGGTCGCATACTAGCAAAACTAACGCGGAAACAAGAAGATACGCGCCTTCTATAAATCATGAAAAAATGTCGCAGAGAGCTCGAAGACGCCTCATTCTCTTCAAAAGTGTTTGCTCTATACGATGAATGTATTTAGAAATACATTTACAAATGCATATTAAATATTGCATATAAATGCATTAAATATTTTCTGAATTGAACTCAGGGACTTGGTTTTGGTCGCAGCTTGTCCTCATGTGTATTCAAATGATAGCTTCCCCAGTCGGTGCATTGAGTAAACGTGCTTTGAACGAATTGACGACTCACAAACGCGACCAATGACCAAGAACTATGGCGTAAAATATATAACGATGCATTGTTTTTACTAAATACTTTATCCGCGCTTATTACTTATTAGTTTCTTATTACCGTTTGATTTTCTTTGCTACTACTGAGCAACCAGTGATAAAATATGGACTCTCCTCTCCGCCTATGAACATCGTTAAATAACTTCTCATAAACTCTTCTAACTCACCCTCCCTATATGAGAACTTGGTCCGCTGCGAATTTCCAAACCTCTTTAGGGTGTATGAGGAATAATAAGCCTTTTCAAGTTTATAACTGGAATAACAAGCCCTTCATCAAAAGGTTACCTTACGTTTACAAGAAGGTAAACTGGTGACTAATAAACCCTTCATTGAAAGATGCATTATTCCCGTTACACCGTAAAGCCCTTTCTGAATTTTAACTTATCACACCCTCTCATGCGATAAATGAGTCAGACGTTTATACGTTATATTAGACAAATCAACTAAAAACGCCTAGTGGATGCTATTGATAAAGGGATGTACCGGCCCATTATTCTCCACTAATTTCTGCAGAGCAACTGCTATTTCAACCTTGTCTCATTTCAGGATATGTGTGCACGAATCCTTATTCAGTTTCAAGCCTCTATAAAACCGGCCACAATTCATTTTCTGCGGCAACGGGCTACTTCAGGAACGACAAACAACTAGATGTAGCAGTAGCCAGCTTCGACGACAACGACGTTGTTATGCTGCTTGGCAAAGGGGATGGAACCTTTCAGACTCAAATGACCTATGCGGTTGGTAGCGACACATTGTCTGTAACATCAGGCGACTTCAACAATGACAACAAACTGGATCTGGCAGCAGCCAACTGGAACAATAATACGGTCAGTGTGCTGCTTGGCAAAGGCGATGGAACCTTTCAGACTCAAATGAACTATACGGTTGGTAGCGGCCCATTTTCTGTAATAGCAGGTGATTTCAACAATGATGACAAACTGGATCTGGCAGCCGCCAACTCGAACGATAATACCCTCAGTGTGCTGCTTGGTAACGGGGATGGAACCTTTCAGATTCAAATGAACTATACGGTTGGTAGCGGCCCATTGTCTGTAATAGCAGGTGATTTCAACAATGATAGCAAACTTGATCTGGCAGCAGCTAACGTGAACGATAATACCCTCAGTGTGCTGCTTGGCAACGGGGATGGAACCTTTCAGATTCAAATGAACTATACGGTTGGTAGCGGCCCATTTTCTGTAATAGCAGGTGATTTCAACAATGATAACAAACTGGATCTGGCAGCCGCCAACTCGAACGATAATACCCTCAGTGTGCTGCTTGGCAACGGGGATGGAACCTTTCAGATTCAAATGAACTATACGGTTGGTATCAGCCCATCGTCTGTAATAGCAGCTGATTTCAACAATGATAACAAACTGGATCTGACAGCGCCCAGCGTCCGCACTAAAGTCAGTGTGCTGCTTGGCAACGGGGATGGAACCTTTCAGACTCAAATGACATATCCGATTGGTAGCTACTCATATTCTGTAATAGCAGGTGATTTCAACAATGATGACAAACTGGATCTAGCAGCGGCCAACGGAGCCGACAACACCGTCAGTGTGCTGCTTGGCGAAGGTAATGGAGCTTTTCTGCCCCAATGGATCTATGCGGTTGGTAGGCGCCCATCGTTTGTAACATCAGGTGATTTCAACAATGATAACAAACTGGATCTGGCAACGGCCAACTATGACGACAATACCGTCAGTGTGCTGCTTGGCAATGGGGATGGAACCTTTCAGACTCAAAATAACCATACGGTTGGGATCAGCCCATCGTCTGTAATAGCAGCTGATTTCAACAATGATAACAAACTGGATCTGGCAACGGCCAACTATGACGACAATACCGTCAGCGTGCTGCTTGGCAAAGGCGATGGAACCTTTCAGACTCAAAATAACTATACAGTTGGGATCAGCCCATCGTCCGTAATGTCAGATGATTTCAACAATGATAACAAACTGGATCTGGCAACGGCCAACTCTGACGACAATACCGTCAGTGTGCTGCTTGGCAAAGGCGATGGAACCTTTCAGACTCAAAATAACTATACGGTTGGGATCAGCCCATCGTCTGTAATAGCAGGTGATTTCAACAATGATAGCAAACTGGATCTGGCAGCCGCCAACTCGAACGATAATACCCTCAGTGTGCTGCTTGGCAAAGGCGATGGAACCTTTCGGACTCACATGAACTATACGGTTGGTATCAGCCCATCGTCTGTAATAGCAGGTGATTTCAACAATGATAACAAACTGGATCTGGCAGCCGCCAACTCGAACGATAATACCCTCAGTGTGCTGCTTGGCAAAGGCGATGGAACCTTTCAGAATCAAAAGAACTATACGGTTGGTAGGAATCCACAATCTGTAATAGCAGCGGATTTCAACAATGATAACAAACTGGATCTGGCAGCAGCGAACTCGAACGATAATACTGTCAGTCTGCTGCTTGGCAAAGGCGATGGAACCTTTCAGCCTCAAAATAGCTATACGGTTGGGATCCGTCCATCGTGTGTAATATCAGGTGATTTCAACAATGATAACAAACTGGATCTGGCGGTGGTCAACGTAGATGACTTGTCTGTTTTACTCAACGTCTGCAGGTAATTAACTATTTAACGTGAGACTATGTAGACTACTTATCCATCTACAATTCTCGACAAGTCCCAGATTTCGATCTCGTATCAATCGGCGTTTTTCCACAGGAAATTCATGTTTTCCCCTGAAGAAATATTTGTTTCTTCACAAGAACTGCATGTTTTCTGCTGAAACAATCAATGTTTCTCAAACACAACAGCATGATTTTTCCACAAGAAATCGACGTTTCTCCACAAGAACGTACTGTTTTTTTCTCAAGGAATCGGAGTTGCCCATCATTTTTCTCCGACACAGTAGAGGTTTGCCCATTGGTCTAACAATCCTGGTTACGCTGCTGGTAATCATCCAAATGTATGTCAATAAGAAGCGTAGAGAGAGACAATTTTCCATTGGAGGTATATTGTTAAACATATCTGTGATGTCCAAACTAGCTATTTTTTCCTTCAAATCTAATTTTACTTTCGATGTTGTTTCAGTGAAATTAACTGTAAAATTTGAAAAATGATATACTATTTCGCTCTTGTGGATAAAATTC